CAGTAAGAGCACCTAGAGCAGGGGTAGGGAACCTTTGGCCCTCCAGCTGTGGTGGACTTCAACTCCCACAATTCCTTGAGGCTCGGCATTGGGCCAAGGTAAGCCTTTGGGGCGAATGCCGAGCCTCAAGGAATTGTGGGAGTTGAAGTCCACCACAGCTGGAGGGCCAAAGGTTCCCTACCCCTGACCTAGAGCTTCGGAGAGCTTCTGTTCTACCATCTCAAAGCTCCCTGCTTGAGCAGTAATGGCACGATCATCAGCATAGATGAAACTCTCTGTTCCTTCTGGCAGTGGCTGGTCATTTGTGTAGATGTTGAACATGGATGGAGCAAGCACGCTCCCCTGAGGCAGGCCTTTCTTCTGTTTCTTGTGTAACAAGATGATTTGTTGTTTATTAATGCCCGGGCCATAGGCTATTTGCATACAAACAAACAAAAGTGCAATATAATATTGAATTTTAGTACCAAATCTCACCTATTAAAATTCAGTACAGTTGAAATACAATACAACAATAATACAAACAATAATATTAAAATTCCCCAGTTTTTTGTGTTCTTTATTTACTGTTATGATTTTAGAGTTTTTAATACCGGGTGCCAGTTTTTGTTCATTTCCGTGATTTCCTCCCTTTTTGTTGAAATTGTCTACATGCTTGTGGCTTTCAATGGCTGCTCTGTGTAGCTTGTGAGAGTGTTCCAGCATTTCTGTGTTTTCAGATAATATGCTGTGCCCAGGTTGGTTCATCAGGTGCTCTGCTATGGCTGACTTCTCAGTTGGATTAGTCTGCAGTGCCTTTCGTGTACCCTGATTCGTGTTTGAAAATCAACAAAATCTGGATACCAGCATTAAAAAAAAAACTCCAAAATCATAACAGTAAATAAAGAACAACACTCAAAAAGGGAATTCCAGACAAGAAACAATAAGGGCCAACTAATCACCTCCCAACAAAGGATTCCCCAAGGGAGTAAGAAGCCAGACCTTGAAACTGGTAGGGCATTAAATACTAATCAATGTGGCCAGCTGCAACATTCACACCTACTGAAACAGACAAGAGTTCTTTCCCCCCACCCTGGACACTCCTGAGTCCCCTTCGGGGTTAGAAGGGCGGAATATAAATGTTTTAAATAAATAAGTTAAATATATAATTCCACAGATATATAAAAGCAATTTTCCTAGTTTCCAACAGATGTCACAATCCCTGAGGATGCCTGCCATAGATTCAGGCAAAACATCAGGATAGAATGCTTCTGGAATATGGCCAGACAGCCCAGAAAACTCACAACAACCTAGTGATTCCTGCCATGAAAGCCTTTGACAAAATAATAATAATAATAATGTATTGTTGAAGGCTTTCATAGCTGGAATCACTGGGTTGTTGTAGGTTTTTTTTCGGGCTATATGGTCATGTTCTAGAGGCATTCTCTCCTGACGTTTCGCCTGCATCTGTGGCAAGCATCCTCAGGGGTAGTGAGGCTCTGGGGATGCTTGCCATAGATGCAGGTGAAATGTCAGGAGAGAATGCCTCTAGAACATGGCCATATAGCCTGAAAAAGCTACAACAATTCAATAATAATAATAACAGGCACATAAAATCACTCTCAACAAGAGATTCCCCCCAGGTGCTTCCAGGCCATTAAATGCAAATCAAGGTGATCAGCTGAAACATTACCCTGGTCATTCCACAGATATATAAACCCATTTTTCCTACTTCCAACAGATCTCACTACCTCTGAGGATGCTTGCCATAGATGCAGGCGAAACGTCAGGAGAAAAATTGCCTCCAGAACATGGCCATATAGCCCGGAAAAACCTACAACAACCCAATAAATAATAATAATAATAATAATAATAAATAATTAAATAAGAATAATTAAATAATTATTAAATAATTATTAAATAATAATAAATAAATAATAATAAATAATAATAATCAATAATAATAATAATAATAATAATAAAAGTCGACGACATGAAAGCCTTTGACAAAATAATGATGATGATGATGATGATAATAATAATAATAATAATAATAATAAAAAAGTTGATGACATATCCCAAATGTAGACTCTGCAAGGAAGCAGAGGAAACAATAGATCACATCCTCAGCTGCTGCAAGAAGATCGTGCAGACAGACTATAAGCAGAGGCATAACACCGGTCCTCAGATGATTAATTGGAACTTGTATTAAAAAACTCAAAAATCATAACAGTAAATAAAGAACAACACTCAAAAATGGGAATTCCAGACAAGAAACAATAAGGGCCAACTAATCACCTCCCAACAAAGGATTCTCCAAGGGAGTAAGAAGCCAGACCTTGAAACTAGTTGCCTGCGACAAAGAACTGGTGGGATCACAAGCAGGAAAAAGTTACAGAGAATGAACACGTCAAACTCCTCTGGGACTTCCGGATTCAGACAGACAGACAGTTTTGGAGCATAATACTCTTGACCTCACAATAGTGTTAAAAAACAAAGTATGGATCGTTGATGTCGCAATCCCAGGTGATAACAGGATTGAAGAGAAACAACAGGAAAAGATGACACAATATGAGGATTTAAAAATCAAACTGCAAAAACTAGCACAAGCCAATCAAGGGAGTCCCAGTGATGATCGGCACACTGGGTGCAGTGCCTAAAGACCTTGGCCTGCTCTTAAACACAATCGGTGCTGACAAGATTACCATCTGCCAGCTGCAAAAGGCCACCTTACCGGGATCTGCACACATAATTCGCCAATACATCACACAGTCCTAGACACTTGGGAAGTGTCTGACGTGTGATCCAATACAACAGCCAGCAGAGTGTCTGCTGTGGACTCATCTTGTGGTGTTTCTAATAAATAATAATAATACAAACTCCCATGATTCTGTAGTACTGAGCTATAGCAGTTATTGTCAAACTGGAATGATGATGATGATGCAAACTCCTATGATTGTATAGCATTGAAGCATGAACTCTCATGATTATACAGCACTGAGCTACAGGAGTTAGTGTCAAAATGTAATAATAATAATAACAACAACAATAATAATAATAGTAATACAAGCTCCCCTGATATTATAGCACTGAGTTACGGCTTGGGAGTGATCCTGGATTCATCGTTGAGCCTGGAACCTCAAGTTTCAGCGGTGAGCAGGGGAGCATTGGCACAGTTAAAGCTTGTGCGCCAGCTGCGCCTGTACCTTGGGAAGTCTGACTTGGCCACTGTAGTCTATTCTCTGGTTACATCCTGTATAGACTACTGCAACACTCTCTATGTGGGGTTGCCTTTGAAGACGGTCCAGAAGCTTCAACTAGTCCAACGGTTGGCAGCCAGGTTGCTAACAGGAGCGGCACTCAGGGAGCATACAACCCCCTTGTTGCGCCAGCTCCACTGGCTGCCAGTTTGCTACCGGGCCCAATTCGAAGTGCTGGCTTTGGCCTATAAAGCCCTAAACGGTTCTGACCCAACTTACCTGTCCGAACGTGTCTCCCCTTACGAACCATCGAGGACTCTAAGATGGTCAGGGGAGGCCCTGCTCTCAGTCCCGCCTTAGTCTCAAGTAAGTTTGGCGGGGATGAGAGACAGGGCCTTCTCAGTGGTGACCCCTCGGCTATGGAACACCCTCCCTAGGGAGATTAGATCTGCTCCCTCCCTCTTAACGTTTCGGAGGCAAATTAAAACATGGCTGTTTGAGCAGGCGTTTACAAATGCAGAGTAGCTAATATAGGAAATCGAACGATTTGACATTGGAACCGGACAATGCTTGATAATGAGACGCTAATGATATTGTTTTTATTGCTTTTGTGGTGTCTTATATTGTTTAATGTTTTAATCTGTATTATGTTTTTATATGTACTGATTTGTTGGAAACCGCCTTGAGTCGCCGGTTGGCTGAGAAAGGCAGCATACAAATACAGTAAATAAATAAATAAACAAACAAACAAATAAATAAGACAGTTAGTGTCACACTAACAACAACACAAATTCCCATGATTCTATAGCACTGAGCTACGGTGCTGGGCCTGTAATAACAACAACAACAATTGTTAAAGGGCCTTCTTTTCTTTTTCAGCTTGGACCTTAGTTTGATTTGGATTAATTCTGACCATAATCCAAACTGAAATGAGCAAATCTACATGTTGGTGCATCCTCCTTGCAGACGTTTGGAAACTGAAACAGCCAAGCTTTTTTCTTTTGGATTCTCTTCCCCCGCCCCCACCCATATGATTGCATAGCATTTGGCAGCATAGTTGCCTTTTCAAGTTTGTTTAAATATACCCTGGTTTTCCCCCTTGTTGAGCGGTATCTGTGTACTGTATTAAAGTAGAGAAAGGTGAAAACATGGAACTGTTAACCACGAGAAAAAAAGCAAAGTAAACTAACTTGGTAAATCAATAACAGTGTTTGAAATCAGAATTAACCTTTAAAAACAGTGGGAAAATGGGAAATTCCCATTGCATAAGAAAACTATTTAGCAAATGTTGAGGTCAACGATGTACTTTGATACCACTTAATCAATGCTATGGGATTCTGGGAGTTGTAGTTTTGCAAGACCTGTGGCCTTCTCTGCCAAAAAGCACTGGAGACACATCAAACTACAACTCCCAGGAGTCCTCAGGTGGCCAGGATTTGTAGTTTTGGGAAGCAAAACTATGGAGATAAAAGGAAGATGATGTTGATGATGACAATGATGATAATATCTGTAGCAAGTCTTATTTCTAGAGGGATTATTTGGTTAGAAATCTGTGTCCTCCAGTGCATAATTATGGTCATCATCAGCTGGATATGATGATGGAATAGTGCTGGGAGACCCACCAATGCCTCCCTAGGAATCTCCCGGTCGTCCAGTGTGACCCTGTGTTTGGTCAGAACGAATACTACTAGGTCCACCTCTGGGTTGCCTTTGGTTGGAAACACCTTGAAGGCACCCAATGATCCTGGTGAATGTGATCAGTCCTGCAATGTTTTCGGGGAGCAGAGGGGTGTCCTGACGCTTTTGGGTGTCTTCTCTTCCTAGCTTTCGGAATCACGGAGATGGACCCAATCGAAGACTTTGACCTGGGGCCCATGCCAAGCTCCCCCCTGAGCCAGGACACCTTCCAAACGCTGTGGAGCAGCATCATGGTACTGGGTTTGAGTCACATCTCAGTTGGGATGGGGCAGAGAAAGGGAGAGGAGGAATAAAATAGATATATGTTTGATATGATATGAATGTTTGCCTTTGATATTGTGAACCACCCTGAGTCCCCATGGGGAGATAGGGCTGGATAGAAATAAAGTTTTACTTGCTCACTTACGATAGCGAGCGGGGGAGCCATATCTTGTTGTGGCTTGCAGCCCGAAATTTCATCCAAGATCAGGGATGGATGCTGTGTTTTAGGCAACTATGTTATTCCCCCACCCCTATTTTTTTATTTTAATTTTTTGTATTTATTTGTATTATTTATTCATTTATTCCTATTTATTTTTTAGTCATTTTGTGAATTAATTCATTTTTTATTTTCATGTATTATTTCCTCTTTTTATTATTATTTTGATCCGAATCTGCAACGCCCCATGGATTATTATTCGTTTTATTAATTCATTTATTATTTAATCAGTTTATTATCTTTACATGTTTGTATTTATATTTATATTCATATTTAGCAGTTTGTTTTATTAATTCATTATTGATATTTATTAGTTCATTTTATTTCCTGTATTATTTTCTTCACCAAACTTGTTTGATTATTTTATTGGTTATTTGTAATTATATTATTTTTGTTATTTTATTTATTATTACTTATTTCATTATTTTATTTATTATTATGTTTTATATATTATTGATTAATTTGCTCTTTATATTTATGTATTCATTACATATCTGTTCATTTATTATTTTAATTATTTTATTAGTTGATTGATTGTTTTTTTTCATTCTGTTACTTATGGCGGTGGGTTTAGATGTAGCATAATGGCACTCCATGTAGTCATGCTGGCCACATGAACTTGGAGGCGTCTACGGACAACACCGGTTCTTTGGCTTAGAAATGGAGACAAGCACCACCCCCTAGAGTTGGACATGGCTAGACTTAATGTCAAGGGGAAACCTTTACTGGGCTGTTGTAGTTTTTTTCAGGCTATATGGCCATGTTCTAGAGGCATTTTTTCCTGACGTTTCGCCTGCATCTATGGCAAGCATCCTCAGAGGTAGTGAGGTCTGTTGGAAGTAGGGAAATGGGTTTATTTATCTGTGGAATGACCAGGGTAGGACAAAGGACTCTTGTCTGCTGGAGCTAGATGTGAATGTTTCAACTGACCACCTTGATTAGCATTTGATGGCTTGGCAGTGCCTGGGGGAATCTTTTGTTGAGAGGTGATTAGATGTGCCTGATCATTCCACAGATATATAAACCCATTTTCCTACTTCCAACAGGAGAAAATGCCTCTAGAACATGGCCATATAGCCCAGAAAAACCTACAAAAACCCAGTGATGCTGGCCATGAAAGCCTTCGACAATACAGGAAACCTTTACCTTAGATATAGCATAGGGAGGGAGGGAGGGAGGAGAAAGTGAGGAAAGAAACGCAAGGTGATTCGAGGGGCTCATAAATACATTGAAGGATGGACGAGAAGGCACCTTTACACAGGTTGAAGATCGTTATCCGGGATTCCAAATTCTTCCAGTGCTAGGGAATCCTGGGATTCATAGCCTGCCAGCTCTTTTTGGCAAAGAAGGCTAAAGACCTTGTCAAACTACAGCTCCCAGGATTCTGTAGCATTGAGCCATAGCAGTTCAAGTGGTGCCAGACTACATTAATTCCACAGTTTGTGGATGTGGGTATATCTGTGCAATAGCATTATTATTATTATTCTGTTTGGGTCGCAAAGGGTGCCGTTAACGTTTTGCTCTTTCTCCGCAGGACGGAAAGGTGGAACCGTCCCTCTTGGATCCGAACCCACCGTGTCCCATGTCCTTTGAGGAAGGGACCAGCCCGCAGGTGGCAGAAGCGGACTACAACACCCTCGAACCCATTTCATCGGCGTTTGTCTCAGCACCCATCATTCCCTCCACCGAAGACTACGTTGGTGACCACGGCTTCGAGCTGGCCTTCGAGCAGTCGGGCACCGCCAAGTCCGTCACCTGCACCGTACGGAAATTTATTTGGGGATGTTTTGTGTGCATCTGCACCAGGAATAGGCAAATTTTAGCCCTCCAGGTGTTTTGGACTCCAACTCTACAATTCCTAACACCCGGTAGACCAGTGGTTCTCCACCTTCCTAATGCCGTGACCCCTTAATACAGTTCCTCATTTGTGGTGACCCCCAACCATAACATTATTTTTGTTGCTACTTCATAACTGCAGTTGTACTATTGTTATGAATTGTAATGTAAATATCCGATATTCAGGATGTATTTTCATTCACTGGACCAAATTTGGCACCAATACCCAATATGCCCAAATTTGAATACTGGTGGGGTTGGGGGGGGATTGATTTTGTCATTTGGGAATTGCAGTTGATGCGATTTATAGTTCAGTTCCAATCAAAGAGCATTCTGAATTCCACCAGCAATTGAATTAAACCAAACTTGGCACACAGAACTCCCACGACCAACAGAAAATACTGGAAGGGTTTGGTAGGCATTGATCTTGAATTTTGGAGTTGTAGTTCACCTACACCCAGAGAGCACTGTGGACTCAAACAATGATGGATCTGAACCAAACTTGGCATGAATATTCAATATGCCCAAATGTGAACACTGGTAGAATTTGAGGAAAATAGACCTTGACATTTGGGAGTTGTAGTTGCTGGGATTTATAGTTCACCTACAGTCAAAGAATATTCTGATAGAATTGGGACAAACTTCCCACACAGAACCCCCATGACCAACAGAAAATACCTAAGGCCATCCAGTCCAACTACCTTCACCAGGGCAAGAAAATATAACCAAAGCTCTCCTGACAAAGAGCCATCTGGCCAGAGATATAGATATATATGATTCACACACACAGAGATATAGCATCATAGATTTGAAAGGGACCCCTAAAGAAGGACAATGATATGTTGCGTGTTCCAGAGTAGGCAAACCAGACAATCTCCACATGAACACTGACAAAGATACAGCAAGAAACACTGTTTAGCAACAAGCAGAAAGAAATTACATAAATTAGAATCCAACATTTTCTCATTACTTTATTTTCCAGATCGCCAGACTGGGCCACAGCAATGCGTGGCAGGGGACGGCTAGTAGTAGTAATAATAATATATAATACATCACACAGTCCTAAACTAAATGCTTGGGAAATGTTTGACTTCTTATTTTGTGATACAAAATCCAGCATTTATATTTTGTTTGCTGTGTCGCTGTGTTTTTGTGTCAGAATAATAATAATAATAATAATAATAATAATAATAATAATCAGGAAAATTACACTATGTAACAAATGTTGAAAAAAGTTCTGTTCCTGGTTTGAAAGAGTTATTTCCTATATATTGGTGCTGTTCTTACTTTGAAGGTAGTTGTTCTACTCCAGAAACATCTTTTTTGTGGCTGCCACATTGCGATTGGGTTGAGATTCAATCACAGATTCATTGAAAAACTAGAGCAACATGTGCTATAGCAGGATGTCCTGAGAACAAGCCACGAGAGTAAAGACGAAGATCCACCCAGAGGAAAAGTGTTCTTGCCATACATCAAGGGAACCACTGACCGCATAGGGAAGCTGATGAGGAAACACAACATATAAGGGGTATTTTTAAGTAAGGTCCGTTGCAACACAAGTACACAATGAAAGTTTATTTCAAAAAAGTAAATTTATTTTCAGAAAGTACCTACTTCACTCTATTTTTCGACATAGTTGCCAAGTTTGTTCAAACACTTATCATACCTCTGAACCAATTTTAAAATACCCTCTTCATAAAAACTTGCCGCCTGCTCTGATAACCAAGAGTTCACTGCCATTTTCACGTCGTCGTCATCATGGACGTTGTCACGGCCATCTTTGAATTGTCGTACCCACTTTCGCACTTTGCTTTCACTCATAACAGTATCACCTCACATGCGGCGGATGAGTTGATAGTCTTAAACATTTTTAAGAACAGAACCATACAGGTTAGCTACAGAGCGGAAACTGAGCACAGTTGTTCCCGAGGCATGCCGGTACACGACGCATGCGCTCGTTGCGGTATGCGCGCGAACTACTAGTGTCTACAACAACACGGACCTTACTTAAAAAATACCCCTCGTACAAACTATCTACAGACCCACCAAGAAAATCCAACAAATGCTACATTCAGCAAAGGACAAAAGGGATCCTCTCACTTCTGCAGGAGTCTACTGTGTACCATGCAGCTGTGGTAGGGACCACCAAACGCAGCATTGCCCAAACAAATCAAGGAACATGAAAGGCATTGCAGACTACTTCAGCCAGAGAAGTCAGCCATAGCAGAGCACCTGGTGAACCAAGCTGGACACAGCATATTATTTGAGAACACAGAAATGCTGGACCACTCTTAAAAACCACCATGTCAAGCTACACAGAGAAGCCATTGAAATCCATAAGCATGTGGACAATTTCAACAGAAAGGAGGAAACCATGAAAATGAACAAAATCTGGCTACCAATATTAAAAAACTCTAAAATTACAAGAGCAAAACAACAGAGAGGAAACAACCTGGGACATCTAATCACCTCTCAACAAAAGATTGCCCCAGGCACTGCCAAGCCATCAAATGCTAATCAAGGTGGTCAGTTGAAACATTCACAGCTAGCCCCAGCAGACAGGGGTCCTGTGTCTCACCCTGGTCATTCCATAGATATATAAACCCATTTTTCCTAGTTCCAACAGACCTCACTACCTCTGAGAATGCTTGCCATAGATGCAGGCGAAAGAATGCTTGCCATAGATGCAATCCAAAGTTTTTGCAGTTTAATAAACTTTCCCCATGAAATGACATTTATAACCCAGGAACAAAAATCATGTTACATAGTGCTATTATTATTATTATTATTAATAATAATCTTTATTTTATTAGTGTTCAACCATTCATAGAATCCCACAGCCATTTTGCAATCTGTTGAGGCTGAAAAAAGGAGCGCATTTCTCCCAATTTCTGGATAGTTTGGCCTTATTTGAAAATAAATCCTTCCTGACTTACCTTAGATGCTGTGTTTATCAGTGTTGCAATTGCAATTAACGGCTCCAATATTGGCATTGCTATTGCTGTAATTGATGTCAAGTATTGGCCTTACGACTGTTGCCATTGGTTCCAAAATCAGCACCATGATGGCTGTTGTCGTCTCCAACATTGGCATTTTGATTGCCGCCATCGGTTCTAATTTGGTGTGTCTCCCCAAGAGTTACGTCTCCGTCTTCTCCTCTTTTATAAAGTGCTCCGAAATTTGAACTTGCCGCTATTTAAGGCTGAGATAATGAGTTTGAAATATGATCACCCCCCTTTCTTCCACCTCTCCCCCCAAATGTGCTTCCCACCTTTCGGGAAAAACTCAAGACAAGTCTGGACTTGCCGCCTCTGTGTTGTTGCGCTCTCCGTCTTAGTGGCGCATGGAAGTAAAGGCAAACCTTTTGGGGTGGAGCGGCCTCTGATTTGATTAGAGAAATGATTCTAGAATGAAACCTTGCAAAGTTAGTTGCTGTGGCAAATGTGATAGTGACATGAGATCTGGGTTTGGGTTTGACATCTTAAGGACCTTACAAGAAAGCTAAGCCCTTCTTTTGTGTTTCTTTTTTGCTCCCTCTTTCCTGTCCCCCACCCCCCCAAAACGCAGTATTCGCCTAAATTGAACAAGCTTTTCTGCCAGCTGGCCAAGACCTGCCCCGTCCACATCAAAGTTTCCAACTTGCCCCCGTTCGGCGCTGTCATCCGCGCCATGGCCGTCTACAAGAAGTCCGAACACGTGGCCGAAGTGGTGAAACGGTGCCCCCACCACGAGCGCAACCAGGATTACAACGACAGTGAGTTCATGGAATCCCAGTCTGGGAAGGTGGCACCCAAAGACCATCCCGTCCAACTCTCTTCTCTCAGGCCAGTGGTTCTCAACCTGTGGGTCCCTAGGTGTTTTGACCTACAACTCCCAGAAATCCCAGCCGGTTTACCAGCTGTTAGGATTTCTGGGAGTTGAAGACCAAAACATCTGGGGACCCACAGGTTGAGAACCACTGTCCCATGCAGTAAGACATCGTCCAAGTCCTGGTAATGGGAGAACAGCTGGAGAGCGGGTCAGGGGGGTATCCTCCAGAAAACTCCCAGCAATATGTCCCTAAATGCACTTTGTTAGTGATCTAGGATTCTCTGCACATTTCATCCCTCCCTAAATTTTCTTTCCTAGTTATACGTCACTTGGTCATGCCCAGCATTATTTTTAAATTTTAATTATTACATTTGGCCCAGCCATAGGTTTTAAACATTGTCGTGTTATTGTTAATGTTTATTGCTTATTTTCTGCTTATGAGTTTTATTTATTGTTTTGTATTACTGTTGCTATTGTTTTTATTGTTGTATTGTGGGCTTGGCCTCATGTAAGCCGCACCGAGTCCCTTGGGGAGATGGTAGCGGGGTACAAATAAAGATTATTATTATTATTATTATTATTATTATTATTATTAAAAAGGAACTTTTTGTATCTTATGGAATTGTAGAGATGGGTAAGATGCCAAGGGTCATCAAGTCTAACCCAAATAGATAGATAGATCCTAGTGCTGGAAGAGACCCTAAAGGGACATCCAGTCTGACCCTCTTCTGCCAGGCATAAAGACACTGTCCAAGCCCTGCCAACAGTCACACATGCAACTGGAGAGGGAGTTGGTGAGGTATCCTCCAGAAAAAAGAATATTTTTCGTAGCTCATAGAATCATAGAGCTGGGTGAGACCCCAAGGATCACCCAGTCCAGATAGACAGAGACAGGGAAGGATGGAAAGGTAGATGGGTGGGTAGATAGATATAAACAGAAATAGAGAAGGATCTGTAAATCCAGCACAAGGGAGGGGGGGGGGGGGAGAGAGACATAAGTTTAAAGATAGAAAAGAATGGATGGATAGAGAGATAGAAATAGATACAGGGATGGATGGATGGATGGATGGATGGATGGATGGATGGATAGATAGATAGATAGATAGATAGATAGATAGATAGATAGATAGATAGATAGATAGATAGATAGATTAGATAGATAGATGATAGATAGGTATTTTACCAGCTTTGCTCATCTATATATATAGATAGATAGATAGATAGATAGATAGATAAAGACAGAGAAGGATGGATGGATGGATAGAGAGATAAGGAAGGATCTGTAAATCCAGTACTAGGGAGGGATGAGACAGACACACATAAATGTAAAGATAGGAAAGAATGGATGGAGATCAAAATAGATACAGGGAAGGATGGGTAAGTGGATGGATGGATGGACAGAAATAAGGAAGGATGGATGGATAGGTAGATATAAACAGAGATAGGGAAGGATCTGTAAATCCAGCAATAGGGAGGGATGCTAGATATATGAAGACTGCTTGGAAGCTTCAGATAGTCCAACGTGAGGCAGCCAGGTTAATAACTGGGGCGGCATACAGGGAGCATACAACTCCCATGTTACGCCAACTCCACTGGCTGCCAGTTTGCTACCGGGCACAATTCAAAGTGCT